TTGAGATAAATTACTGTGGCAGTGCAATTAACATCAAGTGGAAAAGTGGAGAAACTGAATATAAAGAATACTGTGTATATATGTAGCTAATTGAACATAGCCATAGTCGTTATTAAAGAGACAGCAGGAGATGAGGTTGTCTATGGCATTTCAATTGTTCACAAATTTAGCAACCGAATCCGGTTCTGGCTAATTGGACCCGACCCACTGCTCTAGGCTGGTTTATCATGAAGGCGAAGGTGGACCAATCCGACCCAATACAGAAGTTTGCCAAAAACGTACTGCCAAGCTCATGTAATTCATAAGATCAAATGGAAAGGTATGGAAAAGGAACAGAGAATATACTATAGCCGCATGGAAGAGCTCTTATTCTGATATAATAAAATTATTTTCTGTAGCTGCAGAATAGTGAACCTATCCGCAGAAGTGGGTACCGATTCATCTATACTGGTTATAGCTGTATTAGGCAGAATAAGTCCAATATGTGATCACTGATACATGCCTACTTTCTGTAGCTGTATTTTGTAGATAAATCCAAATATACGATATACGCTTACATATAATAGCTGTATTCGGTAAGTTGCATCAGGTATGTCTTCACCGGCGCATGTTTCGTACAACGGTATCCAGACAACACATTTGCATATGCGATTGCCTATGCACTTGTGGTTGGTACATACAACGATGTGTTAGTTCCGTATACATACTTCAGCCGGTCCCGTTCTCGCCTCATCTGCACCATAGTGTCGATCTTGTACATGACAGACATTTTGTTGAGGAATTCTTTGGCTTCGGCACCATCCATGTCGGCGACAGCCTATCCGTGAAAAGAGTTTTCGTAAGCTCCGATATGGTTGATTGCACATTATAGTACATTATAAAATGCATGTATATATGTGAGCGCATACGATTAATCTATCAATTCAAAATTCCTCCCCATTATTATCAGAAACCGGCAGCTCGCAGATAATGGGCATGTCGTGCAGATAACTATCACACGAAATAACCCGAATAATATATATATATATACATATATAAAGATATATATATATAGATATAGATATATAAATATATATATACATACATATATATATATATATATAATATATATATTATTCGGTTTATTTCGTGCGATAGTGATCTGCAT